TTGACCCATTTAGGGCACAATGACTTTTGGTGGGTCTCGCCTTGATGCGAATCGATTCTATGGTTCTAGGGACTACCGTGCACACAGGTAGAATGGCTTAAAATTACCCTTGGGTACTTGTCTCACGCTGCTTGACTCGTAGGGTACCATTGGGCACCGTGAGAAAGGTACCCCATACTATTGACTTTGAGTATTTTAAGCTACATGCGTGATCAAGGGGTCGATTTTCTACGCTACGCACTAGTACCGCATAATATTCGTTTTATGAATCCAGAGCTCCAGATGTGATTCGGGAGTCAAATTGGGCTAAATTAGACCAACCGAGCTCCCAGTTAAAAGACCATCCCTCTAAATAAAACACTGCAAACCTATTCAAAAATTCGTTTTAATTGGGGCGAGTTAGCACTGGGGCGACCTGGGCTGGGGCGAATTGGGCATGGGGCGACATAGGCATGGGGCGAGTTAGCTGGGGCAAGCTGTCCTAGATCCGGATTAGGATTAACATACTACCCAGCCGAAAATTCCGGTTACGTCTACGGTTACGTTAACGGCTACGGTTACGACTACGGTTGCGTTTACGGCTATGGTTACGACTACGGTTACGGCCACACTCGTAAATTGGCACCATTTCCGGTTACGGTTACGATTAAATAAGTTCCGGTTACGATTACGTTTACTGTTTCGGTTACAAGTACGGTTAAGGTTACGATTACGTTTACTGTTTCGGTTACGAGTACGTTTACTGTTTCGGTTACGAGTATGGTTATAGTCAGCCTGGTTACGGTGAGTACGTTCCGGTAAATGGAGTACGGTTACAGTGTTGACGTTGTGCCATTGGCTAAAGGCACTTACCAGCACATGCCACCTATGTAAACTTTTGATGCGAAGCACATCGTGGCGTTTTCGTCGCCCTATCACTAACCGTTCTCAAGATAGCTAGGGGTTGAAAAATCGACTTTTCCCAAACTAAACACAAAAGTTGGATCTGTGTTCCCCTTACGTTACCCTTAACCGTTTCTCCCTGCGAAGCTTAGTTTGAGCGCTTCGACGTTTGAAAGTTTGACATTTCCCGGTTTCGGTCGTAATCGTTAAAGTTATTCGTAACCGTAACTGCTGACCGTAACCGGGCTACAGTAACGGTCGTATTCGTAGGTTTAACCGTAACCGGAGCAAATTACGACCGTAATCGTAATTTCTGGCCGTAACCGGAATTTTCGGCTGGATAATGCAACAATCTTACCAAACATACTAATCTTTAGTATGTTATACCCCTAACCAACTCTGGGAACGACCCAGTGCTCGGCTATGGATGTCCGCACTTTTAAAAAGTGTACAAGTTCTAGTACCAATTCCGATCAATTTTGAAACAAATTTTTTTAACCTTGGATGCAGATTCAAAAATTTTAAAATGTTGTGACATTTTTTTTGTTTTTGGTTTTAAGACATATTGGTCTTACGGGCCAGAAGGAACTGCCGCTTTCAATTTGAAACAATACTCGAATTACGAATTACAACACGAAGTGATATTCTTACTCTGACATATGCTGGTATTTTAAAGTTGAAATGTATACTATGCTGAATCTCTTAGTAGATTTAAAAAAGGAAACCAGCATTTCAAAATTTTCTCAAAGTAGTCATGTGTCCAACGGTTTTTACTCTCAAAACTGATGATTTTTCAGGGTCATCCCCCTTCTCCGCTGCCCAGACCAATTGTGAAGCTAACGCCACTGAGGTACAGCTAAGTCTTTTTAACTTCTCGTCGTTGTTAAGTACGAGTGAAAAACTGTTCAGTTTAATTTGCACTGAACCCTGTTTGTTTTTGTTTTGCTTACGGGATTGACGACCGATGGCGATAGATACGGGCTGTTATATGTTATAGGTCTGTACATGTTCTCAAGGCCTGCCATATCCTGCAGTTTTATATTTTCCTTGATGGCATTGGTTTGAGCTTCGCCCTGCTCCTTCATCCATCCTTTTTCAGCCGAGAAGTATGGTGAGCTTGCTGAGGGTGATGGCGCCAGAGATTGCGCAGAGGGGTCAAGATCTGCAAAAATAATAAATAAATATATAGTTACATGGGTTTGGGAGTCACCACATAACAAGCAGGCCCGCCCTTCCGCCAAACGAAGTTGACAGCTTCACTTCGCCCCGTAGGTAACTCCGTTCGGCAGGGGTCGGTCCTGCTTTGACTGCCGGCGGCGTTTTGTGGGGCCTACGGCCACTATATATATTTAGAACAGACCTAGGCCTGCGGCCCTTAAGATTAGCTCCTTGCACATTAGAAAAGAATGTAACAGTGCGACACCGTGACTACAACCCACCCTCACTGGAAAAACTTATGTTACCGAGGGAACGTTTTGTCGGGGAGCGACACAGTCGTAAAGAGGAAATGCTTATATTGCATAGAGCACTCGAGGCGTATTAGCCTGGCCGCGAGTCGTCAGTCTTAGGCAGCCACTCAGAGCGGCGACACCTTCTGGCCCTAGCTCGGTAAGTGAGGGGTTATCCAGCCCTTACAGACGGACTTCTCCCTTCCCATTCTCGCTCCATACTCTCAAACACCCCTGGCCGAGGGGGTTTCCACTCTCCAAAATCGTGGCCCGACTACTCCCTATTACCTCTATAACCAATGTATATTACCCCGAGGCGAAGAGAATAGTCGTACGAGGGCATCAGTTGTCAGAGTTGCCGTTTTATTAGCCCGCCCTTCTGCTTTGAAAAAGCTTTCCAGCGGGCTTATGCAAACGACCTCGTGTCTGTCTTTGTGTCTTTGTGTCTGAGTGTCTGTGTGTCTGTCTGTCTGTTCCACTAGAAGGAGATGTGCTAGAGACTTGAAATTTTCAGGGTATCTAAAGGTCCACTCCTAGAGAACGAAATCCTGGCAACCACCCCTAAGGGTGTAAATGGGGGTATCCAAGCTTCAAAAATTCTTCCAAAAAGTAATTGTTGTTTAATGTTCTCCAACGGGGAACTCGTGGAAGTAGAGTCCTCTGGGTGAAAATTTCGTCCGTTTTGCTCTATCTCTAACCGTTTAGGCGCTAGAGGGT